CACCTTACGACAGCAAGCCAGTGCAACGATACTTGAATGGCGGACAGCCTCAGGCACAGATAAGGTCTGCCCAAACACAAGTGAGGACTACAGGCACGAATGACTTTCGACCTCAGTCSCTATAGAGTTTTKAACCTCACACGGCCTGAAACCACAGACACCCCACTCTCCCACAAACACGCATCCCGTACGAGTTTTCAACACAGTGCCGCATCTGCTACGGCGTGGAATTGAACAACCGCCTTGTAGTTTCGCAGACCCTTCATCCCAGACAAGGAGAGAAAAGAAAAGAGAGGACACCGACCTTGAACCTGGACAATGCTACGGTGCAGGTACGTTCACCCTGGCCCACGACGTGAGTGGAGCGCACGGCTTGACTGTCTTCCCGCTTTTGTGAAATCTTCCCCCTTTATGCGGATGGTCGTTCTCAGGAGGCAGCCACCATCCCATTTTGGGTGCCTCGTCATCATTAGCCCCAACGAAATAGAAACATTTTCCCGAGAAAACAAACTACCCAAAAATACTGAAAAAGGCTTTTCCATTTTAGTTTCCATTTGTGTTTAATGCTTTTCCGTCTGTCACACCGTTGAGCTACCTGAACTCAACGGTGTAGGTGGGACGAGGCCCATGGGACATGTTCACAATAGAACCGATTTTAAAAAAAAAAAAAAAAAAAAAAAAGGACCGATTCAGAGAAAACAAAAAGGGATTAGCAAAAATGGCCCCTTCTCTTTCAAGGATGACGCACAGAAATCAAGAAATGGTTCAAAAGGAAGGTAAAACAGAATGAGGGACGCCGGATCCGATTTCCGGCTTGTATAATGAAATGGCCACCTGGGGCGTGGTCCCACTAACAAAGAGGATAGGACCGAATGCCTGAATCTGGACGTAATTGTGGAGCGGTGCAGGAAATCGAGATTGAACTGCTTTCTGCACCTCTGCATAAAACACATCCAGATTCAGGAGCTTGATCCTATCCTCTTTGCTAGTGGGACCCCGGCCCTGGGTACTATGAACCTAGCCCCGGGGCCGTGCCCCACTAGCGGGGGTATAATTTATTTATTTTCGTGTATTTTCCAACGTGGTCACACTTCCCTAGTAGGGCCGTTAGATTTTCAGATTGGACGGCAAGGAGCCATGTACACTCGAAACCAGAACAAAACCCCTAGAGAGAAGTGGGAGATGGGCCCCGGAGTGCCCAATCATACAGGAGGGTTGCCCCCTTTCGGGGAAGTGGGATGTGGGAGGGGGGGGGGGCGACCGCAAAAGAACAGAAAAAAGAAATCAGATTACTAAAACTCTTTTTTTTTTTATGCTCACCTTGAAGTTCCTACTTATATCATTCACATATGCGGTGTCATTGAACTCAGTCTATTTTGCACCCATCACCCCCCCCACTCTTCTTTTTATTAAAAAAAGGAAAAAGATAGGATCCTGATACAGCACTATTTCCTTGAAACCCTTAGATATAGGAACCAGCCTCATTTGGTC